CAGCGCCCCCCCCCACCTGGCCAGGCCCACCTCTGCTCAAGGTGGGGAAACCTCGGAGGGCTGCTCTCCCAGCTTCCCTCCTTTCCCTTTGGCAGTGGCCAACAGGCTGGGAGGCATGCTCTAGCGCCCCTCCCCCCACTTCTGGCTTGGGCCACTGCAGGTGTGTGGCTGCATTTCCAGAATCAAAAGTGAATATCTGTTCACTTGCTTCTCAGTTCAATCTATGCACCTTAGACTAACCTGGAAAGACTGAATAGATTCAGCCTCAGGCTTTTTGACCGTCTGTATTTAGCCATCATGACTAAGTCTTGTCTATACATGGAAATTCACCCTGACAGATACGACAGAAACAGCTATACTGCAAGTTATTGCAGAATAGTTCTGAAAAGCAGTTACAGAATCAATCATAAAGTGATTTATTCTGCAACAGCATGTCCTCCTGGGATCCAGTGGAATCAATTTGGGAATGGCTTATTTTGCAATAGTTATGTTGGCAATTTTTGCATATGGACAAGTCCGAAGTTACTGAATGCACCATTGCACTGAAGACAAGGGAACCTGTAGATTTTTTTAAAAAGCTTTCCTACCAAGATTTTTAAAAAGCCTTCATTACTAATAACCATCTGGTAGCTAGCTGCTTTTACTGTTCTGACTGAACAAACAGGATGCTTGCCAAAAGTAATAAAAAAATTTAATCAACATGGTGGTGGCCTATTCCACTAAAATGGTCCAAGCCCTAATAGATCTATACATTAGTGCTATGGAATTTACCCCTTCGTGTTGGGATGGTAAACATTAACATTTGCATTAACTCATTTTTTTTTAATCAGGTAGTTAAATTCAGACTTGTAACTACACCTTACAAATTACAAAGAGGTGTTCATTTAACACACGTATCACAATAAGCTATTTCAATCTCACAAACACAGGCATATTAAAAATAAAAGTTCTTCTGTACAAGAGTCTTAGTCAAATCCTTTATTAACCTAGTGTCCACCTTCTTCCCAAGTATTCTTACATGTGGAGAAAAGCCCCAAAGAAGCAAATTAAGGATATTTTAGATGGAGTGGAAAAAATTCTGGGACGGAGGAACCTTATGAAGCAGGGGTGTAAAAGATACTTACTAAGACAGCCAATGGGAGAGGAATAAACCCCATTCTCCTGGAAACAGAATCACTATAATCTGTGTATGCCTGGGACAGAGGGAGGGAAGGGGAAAAAAAATAAAGCCTTAGTTCTTCTCCCTGGTATATGAACCATCAATCAACGTAACAGAACAAGTTTACCTTACTTTACATATACTAGGAAGATAATAATCGCTTAACAAATATTATAATAATAAATTACACAGTTAGCTTGATTTGGTAAACAAGTGTTGTCAGAGAAATCTGCAGGGACCCAAAAATACAGATCCCAATTTGTGCATGAATACTATTAACACTAATATGACTAGCAAAATTAGCCTGAGAGTTCTAAATCAAGACCAACTAGGTCTTTGTATTTGAACAGGCCAAGGCACTTCATCTGTGCTCTACTGTCAGTCCACTTAGGGAGAGACTTCTGTTATCAACTTAGTCTTGATTCCCCAAATATCACATACAAAAATTCAGAAAAGAATAAAGATGCGATTATCCAAAACACCACAGAGGCAATTTAAAGTAATTGTAAATGCTTCTGTAATTAGGGTCTAGAAACCCTTTTCATTATTAACCATTTAAAGCCTATATATTCCTGCTTGCAATCCCTCATAAAATAGGCCTATTATTATGAATAAGAATTCTCATATACTGTTGACACATCTTTCATGCTGAAGAAGGGTAATAGCAGATAATCTCCATTTTTCTCAAACTGCCATCACTCAAAGAAATAAAAGTTTCAAGATAATCCAATGCATTCCTAAGAGTACAAATATTGAGATTCCATTAGTAATTCCAGTAACTTAACTCTCTTCTCTATGAGAAGGCATGCTTATGATCTTTTGTTCACAACCTCAGGTAAAGGAAGATTCCAAGTTCTTGGAATACACTGCTTTTACACATGTATACTGTAGGAGTAACAAGCAAGGCACACGACTGTAAAAGTAATTAATGAAATGACAATATAAATTACCAACAATCACTGTACAAGTACTTGATCTAGCATGGGTAAAACTGAAAGGAAAGAAAGCTAGCTCAAAATTATTTTAAGAGAATCCAGGAAAAATCTAGTTTAGCCAGCTTACTTCCAACATACCACAGACAAGATTGTAATTAGGGTAACTGTTATAATGCTTTCGGTTATAACAACTGTCTCCATGTATGTAACACAATTTACTTTTAAAGAACAAAGGCAACTGACTGCAAATTACCTGAAGGGCTAAATGACCTGAAGAAATTAATTAAAATTACATGACCAGATTATAGGACACTTTTCTTTTCATCTCACGAGACACTATTTTGCACATACAGTTTCAACACCGTAGGAATAAAACCAATTTTAGAACATCTGTTGGCTTTAACACAAGAAAATAGCCTTCACTTTCTCACTTACATTTTTCTGCCGACTGCTAACAAGGTCAAAAGCAAGACTTGCCCTGTACTCACTGTAGACCTGGAAAAAATCCATCACATTGAATATGCGATTAATGTGTTTTGAAAACGTATAGAAAGCAACACAATTTTAACAATACAGTGTTTCTGTAAAAAAGGAGTTTTAGAAGGCTTGTGCACCAGCTGATGGATTCAGCCCTATTGTGTAGCATACACTGCTGTATAACTAGGAATAGATATTGTACAAACTGGGACAACAAAGGTAACCAGTTTTCTGAAGATATGCAAGAATGCATTGATACAAATTAGGGGTGCAATGATAAAGATCTTTTTTGGCCAATAATGACGACTAATTATTAACCAGCCATGATACCAATCTCACAGCCAACATGCAGCCTGGCAGCTTGGAGATCAGCGTTGGACTGGTAAGTTGGGGGGGGGGGGGGGGAAAAGATTGAGGCCCCCACAGTGAGGAAGAGAGTGGAGCTGGGGCAGGGGTAGTTGGTGTCCAGCCAGGGTGAGGCAGGGCACAGGACAAAAGCCATGAATGGCTTGCCCGGAGGGTGTGGGGAAGGGTAGGATGAGAAGGGGGAATGGCTCCCCAATGCTGCATGCACCCGTGAGGAAGGCATGAGGGGCGTATTTCCCTCAGATTTCATAGTGCTTAGGGTCAGAAGGGACCTAAACAGATCATCAGGTCCAACCCCAAAGCCCGGGCAGGAACGAGTACCAGGGTCATAACACCCCAGCCAATATCTGTCCAGCCTTCTCTTGAAGGCCCCCAATTTGTGCATGGGGCAAGGACAAGCTGCCCACTGTGGGCTCATGGGCTGTGCTAGCCTCTTCCGGGGTGGGGGGGCAGCAGCACTGGGAGGGAGGCTACAGAGAATTCTGGGGTAGCTACAGCCCACCCCGTAGCACCCCCCATCCCCCCAACGCCAATGCCTCCTGCCCCGAGTACAGCCCCAGCCCAGCCTCTACACTAGGAAGAGGCTGGCACAGCCCCTGGCCCCAAGCCCACAGCAGGCAGCTCGTCTCTGCCCTGCGCACAAATCTGGGGCCCACATGCCCCCCATCTCCCCCAGGGGTGCACACAGCAGTGGGGTGCCACCCCCCCTCTCCTCTTCACACCCCCTGAATGACCTGTCTGTGGCTTCATCCCTGCCCTGGCTGGACAGTGCCTTTCCCTAACCCAGTCCCTCTCTCATCATGGGGGCCTCCATCTTCTCTGCCCCATGCCCTCCCTCTCCACAGACTTACTGGCTGCTCTCCAAGCTGCCTGGCTAGATTCCTCGCTGTGTGCATCCTGTGGCTGCGTGCATGTTCATGGCATTTATTAGTGACATTACTGGCTATACCAGCTAAAAAAAGCCAAATGCCAATAATATCATTTTTCCTTTTATCAGTGCCGATCCCATATAGACTGATATATCAGTGCACCTCTAATACAAATGATATCTTGTTTTGTATGTTTTTCCAGAATTGCATGTCTGAGATTGTTGCTGACAAGGTATTTGGCAGAATTTATCAGATCTGTTGGAATCTGACAGGGGTTGCAACATGAATGCTTCTATTATGGCCATTACGACAGTTATATACAAATGTATATGACAGTGTTGATATGCAAACCTATATAATTCAGTGTTTGTATTTCAGTTTCACCAACAAGATACTAACATCTAGTTTAAGCAAACTGGCCTCCTAAACTTCACTAGGATTCCGATCACTGTAAAACTGCAAGTGCAACATCTGCAAGATGCAACATCTGCAATTTTATCTTCATCACTTCTCTCCTCCATTATCCTGGCACAATTCCAAATAGGCAGATTAATTCCACTTAACACCTCTTCAAAGTCAATCTGATATTGTATTCTTCATGTATATTTTTTAAAGTTGTTATAATGTTTTATCCTGCTTAATGATCATGTCTTTTTACATAAGTAAAATCAGTGCCCCACAAGTAACTTTTGAGTTTTGGGGTCTTCCATGAATGACATTACGTCATGCAAAACAAAATGTCTTGCATTCAAAAGCTTGTCTACCTTTATTCCAACTACACAGTCAATCCAATAAAAGATATCACCCTAAGAAATCTTTGCCTTTAGTAAATCCAGCAAAAGAACAATGAAGATTAAAAGTATATCATCTTTGTGGTACATAACATTTATTCGAACCACAAACCTGGATCAAGACTGCCAGAACAAAAGTATGAACCTGCTGTATGTGGAAGGCAAATTATTTTTAAAATGTATTTAGTAACTGGAATTAGAAGTTATATCAAATCATAACACTCAAAAGGAACAAATAACCAAACCCCTGGTTTTATTAAGCAAATAAAGAAAGTTGTAACAGGAAAATGGGAGAAAAAGTTTAAGAAAGCTACTTAAAATGTATTTTGTTATGAATGGGGAATGGTATCTATTTTGAGGACAATGAGATTGAAAACTGCAGCTCTGACTTTAACTTGCACCCCAGGTGGTCAGCCCCTCCAAAAAGTCAGGCTCAATAGCTCTACATCTTTAGAAGGCTACATAATAATAAAGGAACTCCTTAAACAAAAATCTCACAGGGAACCATCCACCTCCCCCAACTGATTTGGCACACTGAAGCATGTTGTATTTCTGGCTATCTTCATTTCACTATTCCTCTTTTCTATACTCTTTACACAAAACTAGGGCATGCATAAAATGCCTCTGGCATAAGGGAGCTTATTAAGTGTATCTATTAAAGTTGTTTCTAGACCACACAATCTAGTTACTTTATGGAGATACTGAAAATGATAGCACTTTCAAAGTTTTGACCTCATTTCCTGAAAAGGGGATTTTAGTAGCTACAAAGAAATGCTAATCCATCTCTTCTCAAATTTATATAGTGCATTTGAACACACAATATTTTTAAAAGACAAATAAAGAAAACATCTGTGTCACGTTAATACACAATAAACAATTCCTTCCAGTGCCTTAAAGGACTACATACTCTATATGCCCCAGGAAATTACAGGAATGGGAAACTAACAGCCAACCTACTTAATATTCAGTGCTGCAGGGACGGGAGGAATAACTAAAATATTCTGACTCCAGATTCCATCTTTAAAACTGTACTCAATGCAAAGATCCAATAGACTTGAAAAGAAATAGATTTTTCTGAAACTTTCATTGCATCTCATACCTACTTTGTTTAGGAAGAGGACTTTTTCAATAAGTGATCTTCTACGGTGAACTGTGACTGTTACACAAGAGTCTCACCTCTAATTTATGGATCTAGAACTATTAATTTAGAAGCAGAAGTATTTCTGGCACATTGAATTCATTCTCAGAAGTGTATTAACAGGAAAATAATTACACATTTACAAAATGACACTCGTTATTTTTAAATAGCAAAAGGATTACAACACTTCCTGCATTAAAATCAATCTTATTTAACATTCTGTAACACTTTTTAGGAGAGTAAACTACTACAACTTAAAAATTATTCATCAATCCAAATGTATACCTACATCTGCTGTGATGTCATTAAATTTTGTTATAAAGGCATGTTTCACAATATCTACTGCAATTTCTGATCCAATCACCATGCAAACATCTGGCAACAACACCCAAAGGTGATCTGAAGGGCAGAAAAATACTGAAGTCAGTTATACTGTCGAAGTAGATATCATATAGACAAAAACAACCATATCGTAATTCTGCTCAGTGCAGCAGCTTTAACAAAGTATAGGTCAATCAGCTATCATGTCCTAAAAATACTTCTTCCCACTGAAAACAAGGCTATGGAATCTAGCCTGATATCACTACATGCATTGCCAACCCGCTACATTAAAAGAAAAGCTAGTGTAAATTCAGTGAGAAATTGTCGAAGTAAAAATGATACTACAGTCAGAAGAGATGTATTTGCACTCTTACAGAGGGTTACAATGAATGATTTTGGGGTTCACTGCACTTGTTGGATCTGGAGCTGAGGCCTGCAGGACAAGGAGTTGTTCTAGGGCAAGCCCTGGTTTGTTCCTCAAGACAAACAGTGGGACAGTAGGGAAAAACCTGGGGTACTCTGCAGACATGTTTGTGACACCCCCCTTGCCAGTTATAGAAATATCTATTTCCTAGCATGACCTCAACGTGATTTATCTAGTGCTATCTTTACAATTATTTGCCAACAGATCTGCCTGCGGGAGTACAACAGAACCTGGGTCATTCATATCAGGGCTGTCTGTAATCTTAGGTAACAGTACTATTATGTCAAAAAGTGCTGCTTCCCAGTTCAGCTGGAGCTCACCCGTTTCCACATAGGTGCTAAGATAAATCCACAGCCATAAGCTGGAACACTTCAGCGGTCTCACAGACCTGTTTGCTCCAACTCTGTACACCCACAGTTAGCTTGTAACCCCTATTTTAGCAGAGGGCAAGGAACCTAAACCTAAAGCCATTATGGAATGTAAGCTGTAACCTGTCAGTATACAGTATATACTGATATATTCTACTGTATAACTGGATTTGATTTAAGCCTGCCTGCTACTTTGTGAGGGAAGAGCCTGAGTGAACCTCATTAAGGCTCTTTATCTTCTTAGTCATAGCATCTACTCAGCCTCTGCTCAGCTGTTTGCACCCTGTCACCCTTATTCAGAGAGACTTGCTTCTAAAGCTAGGAATAGACATTGCATTTGTCTCTGGACAAGTTGTACCTGTGTGTGTCCAGGATTGGCATGTACACACATCTCCTGTCTAATCAGGGTTTAGTGAGGAGGAACTGAATGCATTGCTGGTTTTCTGTCTGCTTCAATGATGCGATCCTGGGATAACTCCTCAGATGCATTTTGTGATGTCCCAGGATAAACCATTAGCATCTCTTATCTTGTGAAATGTTTAGGATTTATCCCAAGACAAATGTGATGTCTGTTTGTAGACTATAGAAGCCTTCAAAATGCAGGCCCAGTCAGTCAGGTAGCCTCAGGGCTACAAACAGCCAGCACTGACACCAACTGACCTACGTTAGCTGATTTTCTGACTGTCAAATGATGCTGCTACATACGGCTTAGACTATACAAACAGTTATACCATTTTTAAAATCTCTCACATTTTTTCCACTGTCTTAATTACCTGGATTCCATGAGAACTGTTCCATGTTTCTTAGACATACTATTAGTAATAATACATAGTTGGTGAATCTTTCCTTTATATCTGGGGGGAGGGAAAAAATTAAAGGTAAATTCCAAAGAAATGGTTTATTTATTTATATTACAGTAGCGTCATTATAGACAAAGACAAAATCCTTCTCTTATTCAATCAAAGTCAAAGAAAACAGTATTAAAAGAAAACTGGAAGAAACTATCAGTTCTTTTGTCAGAAAGGTAAAAGGGGCATCTCCAGAGCAGTCAACCTTGATATAGAACCCTATGATTTGCCCTACCAAACCAGACCATCTGTCCTTTAGCTTGGTGTCCTCCCAAGAGCAACAGACAATAGCACTGACTTAAGCAGCAGCAAATTCCCCCAAATTTAACCTCCAATGAAAAAGTACACGCGATTTGGAGAGCTAATTTTATTTCTTTCATAAAAAAGCATATTTATTTTTGCTGCATGCAATGCTGGCCAATCTTGTAAGCTGTAAATCAACTCCAAAATTTCAGGGAATGGTTTGAGACTTCAGTAAGCAGAACCCTTCTAAATTTGGTGAGAAACAGGAATTTGAAAGGCAAAATAGGAGAAGGGAAAAAAGAGGACAGAGCTTCTGTCATCTGTTTAGTATAACTGACATCTTCAACAGTTTCCACAATGATTTCTTAATTAATGGCACTGCTGACAGCAGCCATTAATATTTTCCACCACAAGACCTCTCATTTTAGCTCTTCCCATCCTCAATGAAAGAGCTATCATAGGTTACTTTCATTTACTGTGGGAGCATGCACATGCATTCAGACAGCTACTTGTACAGCTGACACATGGACCTTTCCTTGCTTTACCTTTGTTAACTTATTATACATGTGCCCTAACTCTCCACCCTTGCTAACATATACCACTGATCTGAAACCTGGTCACACAGTATACCAGTGACTCCACTGTGATATTTTTAACCAGTTGCTTTGAATGGTTGAAGTACCACTGCTGAATCTACTTTTGAATCTATATTGTTCTGTGCAAACTCACAAACCCATGTGACTATACTGCTGTGGAGACATCACTTCTTTTTTCCTTCAACACCTAAACTTTTACATATTGGCACCCACAGGAAGTATCATATATTCCAAAATTTGGTGCATCATCTGGCTCAGTGATTCTCAACCAGGGTACTGGAGCAGCCTGGGCTGCCAAGATATCTTTTGAAGAGTGCCACAATGTGTGAGGAGATAAACAGGTAAATGCAGGCTCAGGCGTGTCCCTGCATGGACATTCCCCTGTCCCCACTGCAAGGAGGTAAGCAATGTAATCAGTAAGTTTGTTTTTGAAATGGGGTGCTGTTCAATTCATAGGTTATGGAGGGGTGCCTTGAATACAAAAAAATTGAGAGCCACTTATCTAACTAATCATCACCAATGCTGAGATAATGAATTTAAAGCACGCTGGCACCAAGGACTGCACCTGTTACGTATTTCAAAGCACTGGATATTTTTCCTATTCTCAATGCAGTAGAGAAACAAAGCAAGAAATACAACCATTTGTTGTTTCTAAAAATTGTAAGTGGCTGTATTGACTGTACTGCCTCTAAAGCCAAAGTGCAACAGTGCTAAACAATGTTCCCAAGTTGGTCAGAACAATGAAGCATGAGCCTTAGAAGGTCAACAAACCTTTAAAAAGAGCAGAATCAAAGTGCTCAAAGTACAACTTCTATATTTACTACTTTGTAACATATTCCTTGAACCAGAGAACAGTGTGCAAACGGGACTGAAATTTCCAGCCATGCAGAGATCCCCCTAGTTTGATTTATGAGAATTTCCAGCATTAGGCCTAAGCACAGGTGCAAACCCCAGGACTGGTGCTTCTCTCAGATAAGTATCTTTAGCAAAACAATCTCCCAGGACGTTCTGCGTAATGCATCAAGCAAGCCGATAGAAAATCATTAGACTAGAGAAGGAGAAAACAAACCAAACCAAACACATGCTTGTTGAAGTAAAGGCAAAAAGGTGACATTTGCAGCATTAGAAAGAAGTAACAAATATTAGAATAGAAGCAGGTCCTTTGGATTTAGCTAAGCTAGTCATTAACAACCCCACTGAGGGCTGTCACATTAGAATGACCAGGAAAAAAAAACAGCTTCGAAAGGATCAAGAACAGAATGAGGAATGAAATGAAATATCAGACAACAAGCAGCCATTTCAAGCCTTTTTATAAGAATGAAAGTAGTATGGTGTCTGGAATGAACAACAGGATTAGAAGAATGCCGTGAAAAAGGGGAGCAGAAAAGTGGGAAATTACTTTTTCAGAAATGGAAAACACAGAATCCAAACTAAAAGGGCTCTTCACTTATTATAACAATGAGACAGAGAGACAGAGAAAAGAATGGAGCAGTGAAAGTAAAAATCAAGAAAAAAAAGTGAAAGAATGATAAAGAAAGAAAAATGAAAACAGTAGTTAAAAGGTGGTAAAGAACAGACTGAGGTGTTTTTGAAATAACAGCATTTTGCTAATAAATACTGGACACATCTGGAAGAAGAGAGATTTAACAACACAGAAGAATTTGGAATTCAGTGAACTACAAGAAAGAAGCTACAGATTCATATAAGCTTCACGTCACATAGATGTAAGGCTTTTCATGAAGAAACCAGTTTAACAGAGCAGAACTCAAAAAGAAGATAAAGCAGATTTAAAAGTATATGAGAAACTACCATTCTGAGTTTCACTAGTGGTGAAGCATCTTCTCTTTACAGAGAGTTTTCTTCTCATTTACTAACTCCTGAACTGTATAAATGCAGTGATCATTCACCCATTTCTATAACAGAGCACATTCTTTAGATTTACTACTTTTTCTTTTACAGCAAAAGCTGTGTTAACCGGCACTCTATTAGCTAGAAAATTCTACTAACCGGCATCCGAGGGATGCAGCAAAAACGAAACTGGAAGTACCACTTCCGGTTTAGTCTCTGTGAACCGAACTTTTCTTTGCCACTTCTTTGGCCCACGGCCCAGGGCAAACCAGCCTGTGTGGGCCCCCCCCCCCCCCC